GTCCATGAGAAGGTGTTATTGGTAAAAAAATTTATCAGCCATGCAATGCATGAAAGGACACTATCTGTAGTGCTAGATGCTGGCAGTAAGGGCTGGTCTGATTCCTCTGCTGGTTAGTGGCTGGTTAATTACTCAGCACACCCTTTCTCCTGCTCCCAGGTGAGGACTGAGCAATCAAATTGTCCTTTTGCCATAGGTGTGGATCATTTTTTACAGATGGAATTTTTGTATTTGCTCTGGCTTCATAATAGGTGAATTTTCTTTGTCCTGCTGGTTTCTGCCTAGCTAGCTTGCTCCCTAACACTTTCTTAATAATGTTTGGTTCATGCCAACATTAAAAATGCAACGCTTTTTATCGGCTGGTTAGACTAGTCAGTGTTAACAGCAGGGGTTTAGACCACCTCTGAAGTTAAAAGGGCCCCTCATAATCTTCCTATTTTGCATATTTTTTTAAAGTATTTTGGCAAACTGAGGCACAGCCTGGGAAAGTATTTCTTTCTGTACCGACTTATTCCCCTCCCAGAATACCTCTCCATAAGGAAGCATCACCCTTCTTTGCACAGAAAGACTAGGAGGGTGCCCAGCAGTGCCCAAGGAAAACCAAACCCCCTTGGGATGTGAGATAAAGCAGGAGGGGATTGCTTCATCATAGTCTGCAGCCTACAAAGACCCATGCTGTGAAGGGGACAGGCTGTGCTTCTGTTTTGCCAGGGGAGTAGAGGTCCCCAGAGAAAAGATGGGTCTTGCCCCCACTTGTGCGCCACAGGAGCATCAGCCCTTGCTGGCCGCCCCTGCGCCTGCCTGCCCGCTCCCTCCTGCATTCACAGGGTGGGAACCCTGGCCCCAGCGAGCCTGGGGAGATTTTGTAGTTCTCTGCTCAGGGACAATCAGGATTTTAGCACTAGGTTTCAAAGGCAAGATATACTATTTTGAATATATATATGTTTTAAAAAGTATATACACATATATATTTTAAACTTGGCTTATGCACAAGGCAGATGACCTCCACCTACAAAGGAGCCCAGGCTGTCATTTTTGCCTCTTGTGCACAAATCTACAGCCTTAACGCTCATGAGTACAAAATTTTGCTATAGTAATAGCTTTGTTTCATTTTACTTCATAGTCTTTCACTTTTCTTCCTCAAAATAGCTGCTGAAAACTTCTATTTATCTGTACGTAGCCCTCTTTCTGACATTTATTCAGCTAAGAGTTTGGTCAGGAAAAGCAGCAGATCTTGGTCAGATAAGGTTCAACTGCAGAAATAAATGGGAACCAATTTTTCTTGTTTACCAGGAAATCCGACCACTTCAGACGCCTTTTCACTTTGACATGATGCATATTTCAAAATTTCATGTAAAATGAAATTTGAAAAAGTAGTTTTGAGTTAAGGGATACACTTAACTAAGAAATATTTCACCAGCCACAGAGTTCTGTTCTTTAAACCTTTTTAAAGTTTTAGATTGAAAAGTCACTTACTCTGAAAAGTAGTTTTGGAACAACTTTCATTCTGAAAATGTCATTATTGAAATGTTTAGTCTCAGATATTTACAAAGTCATATCTTGTCAAAATCAATTCATAGTTCAAAACATTTGGCACTTGATAAACTCCTCCCAACATCTTTATGAAGCAGGAAAACAACACTCAGCCAGCTGTGTTCTGTGAGGCCTTGAGATATTTACCATGTTGAAATATCCTCAATAAAATCTAAAAGAGGAATTACTATAATTTAAGAAATTTGCCCAGACAACGCAGTCTTTCAGAATCTGAAATTGAACCTAATAATCTTGTACTTTGTATTCAACTAATATCCTTTGTCTGAGCAGCAATGAATGTTTTAGAGATAAATAGCCTCTTTTTATTTGCATTTGTTTGCCTTCCTACAATTTGGAGGCATAAATTTCTCTACAGTCTGATTCTGAGATATGAGCCGTAAGAAAATATGCTTAAATAATGTGTTTACCTTTACTCTGAAGTATACTTAGCTGAACAGGGCTGCTTTTTTGCATCAAGGCTTAAGCCTCACTATAATGCTTTGAAGTGACAGTATCTCTGTTTACAGGTGGGCAACCTGAGGTAGGGTGTAGCCCAAAGATACATTTTGCCAGTCAGGAGCAAAAACTCCACCTTCTGATGGGGTTAATGCAAATCCAGTACAAAAGCATTTCAGTAAGGATGGTATTCAAAATGTCAGCTCAAACTGGTAGGTCATGATGACTTTCCTGAAAATGAACTGGTTAAGTTTTTGGAAAGTTAACTTAATGCTTGGGGTGGTGGTGTGCCTAAAAAGCCTTTTATAGTATGACTAACTTTTGGTGTTAGCATATGGCTCAAGCACACTTTGTCCTATACTCCCTACTGTAGTCAGTGGTATGCTCAGCAAATCTGTTTTTAGAGAACCACTGTGCAGCTGCCTCTCCTAAACCATTTCCCCCTCTGAGTTATCATTTAGAGGCTGGAAGGGAAGACCCAGATGGCTAGCAAATCCAGCATCTTTTCCAGCTGCTCAGGGTAAAATTACTGTGCTTGCTTTCATCTGGAACCTAGGCTCTAAGTCTTTTATTAAAAAACAAAACAAACAAAAAAGCCCAAACCCCACAAAACAACAACAACAAAACCCAAAACACACCCACAACACAATGATTTCTCTTGTAATAGGTGTAAGCAGAAACCTTTCAAACAGAAATAGCTGCAGCGGAGCAGCCTCACCAAAAATCTACCCTGAAACTGCAGCTTTGGAGCAACCGAGTTGCTCCAAACTCTCCAGCAGTGGTGATTTAACATCAGCAATATTTCACACCTGAGCAAGGAAACTCAGAAAAAAAGGGAGAGTGGGATATTATGATGGTCTACACTGGGAGGTGAAGCTCAGTCAGAGGTGCACATTGAGCTGAGTTATCTGGTGTCATGGGAAGGGGAAGACCTAGGTCCTCCTCCTGTCACTCCTCCCTGCTGCCGGCCTTGCCTGCTTGTGTCTGCTACTTCCACTGTGCCAGGGATTTTCTTGGCACACAGGATGGTTTAACTGTCTGCTATTGTACCCTGGCACAGAGGAGCTGCTTTGCCCACTCGCTAAAATGCAGCTGCAACAGAAGTGTTGAGGCAAGGGTGATGTACAGCCCCTTGATTTCACCTGGAACTAGGATTTTTAATTAAGGAAAATGGGACTTTGTTGAGAGACATTTAGGGGTTCTGGCCAAAATCTTGGGGAAACCAGCCAGAAAGTTTTTAGGTTTATGAGCTGTCAGGATTGCGGTTTGTCATCCCTCTGAGATCTCTGCTTGGACTGTGAGCTAGTGCCAGGGGAGCACTGCACAGAGGCAGTGGGAAGATCCTTTGAGTTTCTCTTGGGGTCAGACAAGCCCCTCTCCAGCAGGTCACAGCTCCAGCCAAAACATGTGTCAGTGGCTCTCAGGGACCTATAGGCACCTGGTGGCAGAAGGGAGCTGGGTGCTGGTGAGGAGTGCCAGGGAAGACATGCTGAATACTTGTATTAACACTTTGGGAAACTGTGATTAAAGTCTGATCGGTGAGTGAAACTCCATCTGTGCCATCTGGTTGTCTGTCTCACACAGGTTTACAACTGCAAGATTATTTAGTAGTGCAATTTACAGGCAGAGACTGGTTTAGAAATAAGTTGAAATTGAAGTCCCTCTATAAAATATTTAAAACTTAAACAGACCTAAGAATCACTCTATAATTACATATTAAAAAGGTAGATTTTTTTGGAATGACACTGACCGTATTTCTTCAAATAATATGAATTATAAGTACCTTGGGTTGGCAATTGATTCTTTTTCTTCTTCTCTTACAGTAGGCAAACATTCACAGTCAGCTGAAAAAGGGTAAGAAACAGGACTAGAGTTACTCTTGGCAGTTCTTCTACACTTGTGGGTACTGGTGGATGAGAAGCTGGACATGAGCCAGCAATGTTCACTTGCAGCCCAGAAAGCCAGTCGTATCCTGGGCTGCATCAGGAGAAGTGTGGCCAGCAGGTCGAGGGAAGAGATTCTCCCCCTCTGCTCTGATGAGACCCCATCTGCAGTGCTGTGTTCAGCTCTGGGGACACCAGCATAAAAAAGACATGGACCTGCTCGAGCAGGTCCAGAGGACGGCCCCAAAGATGATCAGGGGGCTGGAGCACCTCCCATGTGAGGACAGGCTGAAGAGTTGGGTTGTTCAGCCTGGAGAAGAGAAGGCTCCAGGGAGATCTTCTAGCTGCCTTCCAGTACTTAAAGGGGGCCTACAGGAAAGGTGGGGAGGGACTCTTGATCAGGGAGGGTAGTGATAGGACAAGGCATAATGGTTTCAAACGGAAAGAAGGTAGATTTAGATTAGGTATTAGGAAGAAATTCTTCACTGTGAGGGTGGTGAGACACTGGAACAGGCTGCCCGGAGAGATGGTAGAAGCCCCATCCCCATGGTCAGGTTTCACGGGGCTCTGAGAAATCTGATGTAGTTGAAGATGTCTCTGCTTGCTGCAGGGGGATTGGAGTGTATGACCTTTAAAGGTCCCTTCCAACCCAAACTATTCTATGATTTACTTCAAAATTGCATCAACTTTTATCATGCTATCTCTCTAGAATGTGAAACTGCAGATGCTCTTCTGCACCCTTTTATTTGTAAAATCTGCATGGTGCCCATAGCATAAATGTTACAGGTTTTAAATCCTCCTTCCCTTTGACAGGTGTTGCCATAACTTCTTTGTTAAACATATTTCTGATGTTTATGTACACCTATACAAATTAAGTACTTTTGAGGACAGTTTTCTGTAAACTACCATGGGGAGGACTCTGTTAATTTTCCGCTGCTTATACTTGCACCTATGCTTCATAGTCCAGCTGGGAATTTGGGGCTGGAATTTAGGGAACACTAACATAAGAAAAACCCATATGTAAACGATTTGGTCCCTTCTGTCCACAGAATTTAAAAGAAAGTTTTACAGCACTATTTCCCTGTGTACTATGCTTAATGTCTCTATTTCACTACTGCTGCCTGGCACATGTTTTCTGCTACAGCTCACAGACTGCAAAGGTCAAAACCCCATCATGTGGAGCACTGTGCTAACGCAAAGAAATGCTCCAGAGAGTTTTATGTCCTGAAAAACAAAGCATCCCTAGGAAGTCAGCCAAATGAGCCATTTGGATATAAGGCAAAGGACCAGGATGAAAAAACTATCAGAGTTTCAGCATTTCCTAGCCAATGAAAAGCTGTTAGCAGTTCAGAATCAGGCCTTGGTTAATTCATGCCTTACTGAAGACCTGCATTTTTTTGAGAGCCTTAAAGGAGGATGCATGGCCCTCAGAGATTTTGACCAGGAGATTTCAGCTGGGAGGAAAATGGGGGGAAAAAATACAAGATACTTAGAAGTAGTTAAGAAGGAGCTGAAAATGCTGCTGGTGGTAGTTACTGCAGGTTCTAATTGCTCTGTGGGCTGATAGACTTGACAGAGAAGGTGTAGATGGCGGATGGTGCTGGCAGCAAAGAGCAGCTTATGTTTCATGCAGTAGAGATGGCAAGCGAGTGAAAGGGCACAAAGATGGGAGGGATGTATTCATAAGATCCTGGCAGTAATTCTAAGTGAACAGTGGTCTGCATTATGAGTAAATGAGTGTTTCTTCTACCATAGCACAATGTGGAGCACAGAACTGTAGAAACTCTGAAGGCCGAAAGGACTAGATGCTTCAGAGAAACTAGTATTCATCATTAAAGACGCATATTTAAAAATATAAGTACTGTTCACAGCTATATGTGTGTTTAATAGAAGTGTCTACTGGAAACTCAAAACATTTACGATATTCCATCATATGTTAAAAATAAGCTCCCACATGAACTAAAATACTCCTCTGAACAATTCTACCCCTGACATTTGTGCTGCTATTTCAGTAACAGGGAGTGAAGAACACAACTAAAAATGTTGTAGGAAAAGCAGTGACACACATACAAAATGCCTTACACTGATTTTCTACACATGGGATATAGGTCAGCTACAGAGGGATGATGGAGTAGAGGGGTTACCATGTACCATTTTTGTTCATGCTGTTCATCCATTTGTCAAGCTCTTCCATCTCTATCTCCATAACTGAGGGTGTGTCTTCTTCAAAAATAGGACTTGCAAGGAGGGAGGGGGAAAAAAAGGCATTACACAAAATGCTTAATTCAAACAACTTACAATGCAGTAATTTTGTATGAGTCTTTCATAATTCCAGCCACATGTATAAACTCTGGAAAGCCATCCTAGTCTAGTAATCTGAGAAGATGTCAGCCCAATGGGTGTGAGAGCGAAGGAGAGTTAGCAAGATACCGGTCCCGGGCAGAGGTAGGGCTGGCTGGGACATCACATACAGGGGGACTCAAATGGTGCAGTCTGGGATAAGCCAGGGCACAGGACCACTGCAGCTATTTGAGAACTGTTCCTACTGTAAATAGAAAACTGAAAAATAAAATAGTTTGTCTCTATCCTGCTGGAACACATGGCAGAAGTCCCATTGCTCCAGTGATAAAAGCAGAGGGCCCGATGTTTCATCCTAGCTATGACTGACATTGGCAGTGACTTCAAAAAGAAAGGTCATAAGTAGAGTAACTCTGCATTTATTTAAATGCCTCTGTTTATCTGCATTTTGCTGATCATTCCTGGAGTCACAAGGCAGAAAAAAATACTTCTAGCAAAACCCCCTTTTTTCCCCTCTGAAGGCAATTTAATAACTTCCATCATTGATTAGCAAGATGGAGCTCAAAAGGTATTGATAAAAATTAACACTCTGATAAGAACCACGCAGCTTTTGGCTTGTTTTCCCAGCAGCTAAGGCATTGCTTCCATGGTAGCTGTGCAAGCCTTTCTGCTTCACCTCAGAGAGAGAAGACAAACTTGAAAAACAGGGGAGCAAGTCACAGAGCTTATTCTGAATAGCAAAAGCCTACGATGAGCCTGGGAACAGATCTCCTTTGCTCATGAGGCACCTTATATGTCTTGTGGTTGGCAGAGCTGGGGGTGCCTACAGCAGGCGTAGGGGCAGCTGCAGGTGGTGGGTGCCTGTGGGGCAGTGCTTGCCTCGGCCACCATAACTCCTGTTCTCCTGCTCTAGTCTTACACCTTCAGCTAGATGCTGGAGTCACGCTTTAGCCACCTCTAGAGACAGTTAATTGGAGAAATTGATGGCAAAAGTTAATGGTGTTTAGTGTACAGTTAAATTAAAACAGGTGGTGAAGGAGCCAAAAATCATAATATCCTGTTAGAGTAAAAGAATAAAAAAAAAAAAGAGTGGTGTTCATAAACATTACCTTTTCACATTTTCACTTCCCAGCTCATCTGGAAAAGAAAAAAGTTGGTGTTCATAGTTCTGCTCTTTGTACATACCAGGTCCAAACTGCAAGCAAGCCTTGAATAGGGTCATGTAAAACAGGTTGCATTTTCAAAAGGCGTAATAGTTAACTTGTAGATGAAAGACAGAACTTCTCATCCTGTTTGTAATTGTCAGAGCAACCCATTATTTTTAATCTTGAACACACTAAAAGCAGCTCATTATTAGCTCAGCCATGCTGGGAGGAAACCGACTGTTTGCACTGCGGTGGGCAGGACATGCTTCCCTGAGCAAAACAGATGTTGTGAGAGAAATGGTATCCTGAAAAGGAACAACTGCTACAAAAAAAAAAAATTGTTTACTGGAAGCATTGGGACGTTTTGCTGCAGACTACACACAGGCAATCCGGCTCTGCCTGGAGACTCTGGGAGCTGCTCATGGAGGGAAGCAGGGGATGGACTTGCATGGCAGGTTAGATCTCAGTTAGGCAAATGAAGCTGAACTAGCCAAAGGATCCAAAGCTAGTTATGATCCCAAGACAAAGTAAAGATGGGGAAAAAAGTAGTGTAACAGACATTATTCAAATAAATAACTTCCCCTCCAGGAATCAAGTGACTGAAAAGCCTCAGCCCTCAAAAAAGAATGAAGACCTACATATAGGATTCACGTTGTATACTGTCTTAAATCAGCTTATTTTTAATTCATCATTGCTAATGGGTGCTGACGCCTCCCACTTGTGCCAGCATATTCCCTGACTGCAGAGCCCAGGGCTACAGAACCGTCTGCCCCTGCCTTGAGGATGCCCAAAGTCACAGCTCCAAGCAATAGGCACAGGGCAAGAGATCCCAGGTTTGTGCTCCTGCAAGGCCCCACGTTTCCCACCCCTCTGAAGAGTGTATCTGCATTTCAGGTCATTCAGAAACAGGCAGGCAACTAGGTGCCTGGTTGTGAATTCAGAGTTTGCTACAAGGGTGATTCAGTGGTAAGGTAGGTGCAGCCAAAAAACGCCCTGAAAAATGGACTTAAAATCTGTGTTGAACATGTGTCACTATGCACGTTGAGGAGCTTACAGCCGCACTCTTGTTGTGTAGAGACACTGATAAAACCATTTCAGGACTTCACTTACCAACTGAGTGGTCTTAATTTGACACCTCGGTTTGTTTTCTGTGGCTTGACACTCCAGGTTACCAATTTCTTTGCAAACAGATCAAGGTACCTTCCTGAAGTGCTGCTCTACCTATCGCAGCACCCAGGCAGTCTGACCACGGGATTCCTAGCTCATTTACTGTGATACCTTCATAGCTGCTATCACCCTACAGGATCCCTTAAAAGTATTCCTTAAAACGGTTTTGCTCATTTTATTGAAGCTCCAAGCAGCTTCACCTTGTGGGTAGTATAGGCAACAGAAGAATTAAATTCATCTTGCATGAAGTTGTTAAGCATAAAGACAGAACAAGCATTTGCAGCCACACAGTTACATCTGTATGCTGTTCCCGGCATTGCCAGGAGCCAGAGCTCAGTGCCATGGCTTCCGTGGGTGTGCAGTGTGGGAGGTGCCGAGAAGCAGAACTAGCTCCTGCCCAAGGAGAGGTGTGTGCCAGATACTGCTGGCTGGGGGCGGATCCCTTTCCTATCTGTCAAATGTGCAACTACAGAGAAGTACACCCTATATATGGCATTCCAGGCCTCCAAATAACATTTTCTTAATGTTGAGTATGTCCTAAAGATATCTTTCTGATGCATGAGAAGACAAATTTACCTTGCTTAGACTTTTTCCGTTTATGATGTATTACAAAAAATACGATCAATGAAATCAGCAGGACCAGCAGCGCAACAGGGACAACGTATATCAAGATAGACTGTTCTGCTGCTTCTAGGCTGTCCTGATTGTTGGTGTCATTCAATTCAGTACTTGGAGTACTTTTTGTTTCAAAGCTGCTTTCAGTGGTGCTTGCAGTGACAAGTACTGGCTCATGGTCATCCACAGTTGAAGAACGCGTGGCAGGAGGAGGCGTTACTGTAACCGTGGGTAATATCGGCGATCCATCTCCTGAACCACCATCTTCAGAGCCTGTCAAATACATGAGGACAACTTAACATTTCATGGGGTTTATTGGTATTATCAGTGAGTCAAACTGTACAGCTTTAATATATATTTTTCATTTGATATCTTAAAAAAAACCCCAGCAAACGCCTCATACGCACAGATTTGGAGTCTTGGGCATCAGATGTAAAATTAGATCACAAATTCATCACAAACATCTTACCAGTCCTGACTACGTTCTTCAGCTGCCTTTTACTGGGACGTGTCAGCATGCGTGGTCTGTCTGCATGCAGCTGTCTTGTACAAACAGACTGTTTTTCCTGCAGGTTGGCATCCGGTCTCACTCTCACTAAAAGTCTTCTGCTTCTCAGTAAACCACACCATCCTGCTTTGCTCCTCAGCCTTGGCACATATGGCCGCAACTTCTTTTGCCCCTCCCCTTACCCAAGGAGCTAGTACTCCCTTCGGGGAGACCATTATCCCTGGTCCACCCATTCCTCAGGCTCACTCATTTCCCTGTTTCTGTGCCTTTCTCAAAATTGTTAAATTTGTTTCACTGTGAAAAACAGAATTGGCGAAAGGAAGTCTGAAGCTTGCAGAAGCTGCTGACTTTCACTTCTGCATGGGCTAGAAGAGGTAGTAGTAACACAGGAACTTTACTGGGTAGAGATGCAATTAACTGCTCCTCTGTCTGATCCTACAGACTGGCTGAAGAAGCGTATGGTAAAGAGTCAATGCTGGTCATTCTTCACAAAAGAGGTTCTGAACCTTGACTGGGGTTTTGGTTTCATTTATCATACATTTTGCAAGAAACATGTCTAAAATTGGCTATATTGGTAATAGTGAAACAAGCTTTTTTTTTGAGGCGAATTAAGAGTCTGTGTTGACTGTCAGGCTTAACAGAAGTACAGCAAATTCTGGGCTGATACTGTATTCTGTACTGATGCCAAAAATCCTGTTGTAGCCAAAGGTGCAGGAAAGAGTCCTTAGATAAATTACATGTTTCCAAATGCAAAGCCTTCAATAATTTTCTTAGCATGAAATTAAATGATGATTTTTTCTGTTATCTGCCCTTTCAGATACAATGCTGGCATTGTGCAGCTCTCACTGTATACAATAAAGAAGGACAGGATTTCATGACTTTTGCAATGACATGTTTCTCCTCGTTCTTGTAAAATGCTGGGTAGCCATAGTTTCCACCAGAGTTAGCAAGAGCTTAAGGTTTTCAGCACCTCAGTGCTGGCATTTCCAGTCTCACAGGACTGGAACCAAAAGTACTTAGCATTTTAAACGCTTTTGTAAACACATTAATCTTCATAATGGTCCTGAGAGATGAGCAGTTATCATCTCTGTTTTACAAATGAGAAATCAGAAGGACAGGGATGCTGTCCTTCCCAGGGACAGAGGGGAGTGAGTGAGAGAGGAAAACTGGGATTAGAGCGCTATCTCTTGCTTAATCCACTCTGCAGCATCTCCTCTCCTGTCAGATTTGTCTTGAAGAGGTGATGAATATCTCAGGAGACTGAATTCCAGGAAACCCAATTTCAAACAAATAAAATGGTTTGAGTGTGACAGCAGTGATTTATCTGGGTTTTTATGCTGCACTTATCACTCAGGCACCCAATTGTTTTATCAGTTCCTAAAATCTAGGAAAGAATTTTAACACTTAATAAATAATATCTAATACTTGAATATAATACTGCAAAGGTCACGAGACTGACTCACCACAATACAACAATGAAAACGTTAGCTCTTCGGTGGCAAAGCACACTGTGTCAATAATATCTCTGTGGCTTTCTTCCACATTTAGTATTTCAGTCAAGAGCAAAACATGACCTCTACCTCCCTTGCAGGTAATGACCCCTTACGCATGTGCTCCTCCACCCCTTCCGGTGATCTGCTGGCTGTCCTTAATCCTATTGCAGAGGACAGGAGGGATACCTCTTCTCCCTTATTACTTTGGCCACTTGACTTTTCTTTCCCCAGGTAGTTTATAGTCCCTGGTGCCTGTGGCCGCTCCATTTCAATTGCTGTTGCACAGAGTGGTGAGGTATTGTTAGAGATGTTTGCACGGCAGACTGCAGCATGATGGACTGTGCTACTGGCAGAGCTGCTGGACCACCGCAGCCTCACTGAACTGCTTCAACGACCTTGCTTCATTTCCCTCCTCTAGCCATCGCCCTGGAAACCTGTCATCTGCCGCATTTGATATGTTGACAAGGACAAGCCCTTTGCTTAAAATAGTACCAATGGGAAAGGGTGTCAGAAAAATACCTTATTTTTCATTTATTCTTAGAGCTAAACCAGATTTTTAGAATGTCTAAAGCATGATGTGACTTTGAAGCAAAACCAGTCACACCTCATTAACTGCAGTGCTATACTTTCAGCTGCAGCGTATGCTGCGCTTGATTTCCAAGAGAGACTTTTCCAGTGCCTCTGGTAGTTTTTATTTACCTGTTTTTGAACTATGAAGCAGATTTCAAATCGTTTGTCTCTGTGTGAAACAGAATTACCTTTTCTAGTCTCTAGGCAAAGAAAATGGCAAATCACAGGGAGTGACCTTGCTGCCATGTATTTCTGTTCACTTTGCATAATTCCAGGGACAAAACAGCATCTCTTCAGTGAACGCCATTTCCTCTTACAGAGATCTCTCTCCGAATGGACAAAATATGTCTTTCAGCAGAAGGGCAGCCAATTGCACAATGTTCTTGCAAGGATATTGCTCTTATTTCCTGTGTTTCACCTGCTGCCTCGACACATCGCTATCCAGCTCTTCTGCCCGTCACCTCTGAGGACCAGAGCTCAGACCTGAGGGATACCCAGCCTGTCACAGAGGGACAGCTCTCGCTCTCAAGCTACCCATACATCGCATTTTTTACACAGTAGGAAAATCACAACCTGCACCTGGGTGGGCCTGGTAGCTAGCACCAAGGAAGGGTTTGTGCCTCCAGCCTGGCAGGGAGGGACGGACTCAGGCCTCCCAGTGCAAGCACAGCGCTCACCGCAGCCAGCTGCCCGAGCCACAGGAGACCCATGTGGCTGGCCCCAAGATAGTCGTCATTTTTTCATAGTGTTTCAGTTTAAAGTGCTCAAAATAGTGAGCAAGCTGTGTTGAAGCTGGTCCCAGTGGCTGTTTTGTAGGGTGAATAAAAGCTGGACATTGCGCGGTTTGGAGCAGAGCAGGAGAGCATCTGAAAGTCAGAGGTTTTGTGAGACGCTGTTCAAACATTTTCTCTATACCCAGAGGGAGGCAGATTTGTGGTGGTCGTTCATAGCATGAAATCTCTTGTCAGCTGTGCTTGGGTTTCATCTTGCAGAGATCTACTGGCTCTCTCCAAAAGGGAGTCTGACCATAACATAACATACATTCAGTACGGAAAACCAAGGGCCATGGAGTGGAACGAGCAGCAAATCACATCTGACCACGTAGATATCTCCTCAGCTTTGCAACGCCCGTGCCCTTCCTCTTGCTGAGCTCAGCCTTATACTGTTGGCTACAGTCTCGTAGCTGTACTCTGCCCTCTGCACAGCTCAGCCAAGGAGCAGCTGCTCACACAACATCTGCATCGGCTTCAGCTTTGTCTGGACCACCTCGGGCATGAGTGCTGGTGACTTCTCCCCATGTCAAGGGAAGTGGACGGGACCATGCTGCAGGTTCAGCCCAGCCCATATTGCCACTTTCCATGCTTTCAAGAGCAGAAGGGAGAGGGACTGGCATGCAGCTGCCTCCCGCCCTGATGGGTAGCTGGGCACAGCTGGAACTGGAAGCTAAGAAGCTGGAAGCTAAGAAGTTGTCAGGTTCCCACCACTGAGGTATTAGAGGATCTAGTCCTCAGGGGACCAAAATGCCTGAGCAAGCCCTAGCAGTGGCTCAAAGAAGGTTCCATTACAGTTCTTATGATTTACAAAAAAGTTATGTTTCTGTATGCTGATACCATGGTATAAGGTACGATTCAGTATTTTCTCCTTAAAAAATATGCTTGGATTTCTGATGGACTTTGCGTGAGTTTTGGAGGTGCTCCCAAGCCTGACTTTCAAGGGAGACAGAGGGAGTTGAATATACCGAGCAGCTTTGCAGTCTGGAGTCCAAACAACTGCATCTCAAACAAACGAACAACATTTCTGTTGTTGCAGCATTTCTTTCTCTGGAGGTTTGTGCTGTACCACTCAGAGGTGGTGATATGAGCTCCTCGATGAAGGAAGTGGGCAAACAGGTTTCTGATTTCAGCTGGATGTGAGGCAAAGGAAAATAGCCAGCAGTCAGCACATTCAGTTCTGCTGTAAAATCATCAATCTCTCTGCTGCTTTCTCATCAGACTTGAGGACTGGGGTCTCTGAAGGGAATTTTTCAAATTACACTATAGTACCTACTTATAGAAGAAAAAGGGATGAGGTAGAGAAAAAGCAAGAGCTGAGTCGATGGGATAGTCAAGCTTATTAGCTTGAAAGGAAATGTTTTGTTTCTCCAAACTTTCCTAGAAGCTATAAAAATGCAGTGAAAGCAAGTCTCACAAGAGGGTGACAAAGCAAGCAGAGGCCATAAAGGTGTGTATGCTGGCATGAAGTTACCACATCCTATATCACTCTGCTCTGCACACACATTCCTTCTGGTGGTATAGTCATACCACTCCATGTGGTGCGTACGATCCCCCCTCCTATTGCTTGACTCATCCCTGTTCTGTTCTTCTCCCTCTACTGCACGTTGCTGTAAGAAGGGCCATTCCTTGCCATGGCCGGGGCTTGCCCAGCTGCCTGTTGCGGCAGGGGCTGGCTAGAAGAGGAATCCTTAAAAGCCTGCAGGCTAGCTGTCGGGTGCATACGCTCTTCTGATGAGGGAGCACAAACATTTCAGGATGGCTAATCTGTAGACAAGATTCTGTTAAAACTGGATGCTTAGAAAGTGTTATCTAGGTAAACCTTAAACAACCATTTAAGTTAATTTATAGATGATGGAAACTCTTTTCTCCTCACTGTGCTTCCATCCAGCTGAAGTGCTGCATTAACTGCCCGTGTTGCAAATTCAGTCACGCATCTTAGACCCAAACTGTGAACCTGTAGTCCCATTTTTTGCCCCCAGTACTAAAGGTTTTCCAGACCAATTTATGCATTTAGTTGCATCTACTTAATCTCATGGCCTTCTAGCTCTGCATCAGTGATACCCATGTGACCTCACTGTGATGCAAATCTCTTGGTGCTCCTTGCTCTCAGGAGGACCCTGAAATTAAAGATTCAAAAGCTCTGGAGGCTCTCTAGCTATCATAAAATATCTTGAGGAAAAATAGACTGGGGTCACTGACTGAAATTTAGTATACAATCTTGCTGATGTAAAGGAGAGATTTTCTGAAATGTCCCCGAAGTGCTTGAATAAAACACAGTGGAAGTTTGTCTGTGTAGATAAAATGGAGGAATAGGAGTAAATACGTGCAAGGAATTGATGTGTTCGGTAGAAAGGGGTTTTCATCTGCTTTTTAGGGGACTGCAGTTCGGAAAGAGAGGATGTAGGAAATCCTCATTTCTTATATTGTTGCTTTGCTACAAAATTGTAACAGGCAACTCTGATGGGTTCAAACCCATTCTGAAGATCATTGCTCGGGGGGGGGGGGGGGGGGGGG